ACTGGAATTCCATCACCTCCTCTAGCTTTGTTCATAGTGATGCTTTCTAAGGTCCACTTGACTTCACATTCCAGGATGTCTGGCTCTAGATGAGTGATCACATCATCATGATTATCTGGGTCGTGAAGATCTTTTTTTGTACAGTTTTTCTCTATATTCTTGCCACCTCTTCTTAATATCTTCTGCTTCTGTTAGGTCCATATCTTTTCTGTCCTTTATTGAGCCTATCATTGTATAAAGTGTTCCCTTGGTATCTCTAATTTTCTTGAAGAGATCTCTAGTCTTTCCCATTCTATTGTTTACCTCTATATCTTTGAACTAATTACTGAGGAAGACTTTCTTATATCTCCTTGTTATTCTTGGAACTCTGCATTGAAATGGTTGTATCTTTCATTTTCTCCTTTGCTTTTCTCTACTCTTCTTTTATCAGCTATTTGCATTTCTTTTTCCTGGGGATGTTCTTTATTCCTGTTTCCTGTACAATGTCATAAACCTCTGTCCATCATTCATCAGGCACTCTGTCTATCAAATATACTTCCTTAAATCTATTTCTCACTTCCAGTGTATATTTGTAAGGGATTTGATTTACGTCATACCTGAATGTTCTATTGATTTTCCCTTACTTTCTTCAACTTAAGTCTAAATTATCAATAAAGAGTTCATGATCTGAGCCACAGTCAGCTCCTGGTTTGTTTTTGTTGTTGTTGCAGTTTTTTGTTTTATTTTGTTTTGTTTGCCAACTTCATAGAGTTTCTCCATCTTTGGCAGCAAATAATATAATCTGTCTGATTTCAGTGTTGACCATCTGGTGATGTCCATGTGTAGAGTCTTCTCTTTTGTTTTTGGAAGAGGGTGTTTGCTATGACCAATGTGTTCTCCTGGCAAAATTCTATTAGCTTTTGCACTATTTCATTCTGTATTCCAAAGCCAAATTTGCCTTGGAGTTCTTGACTTCCTACTTTTGTATTCGAGCCCCCTATAATGAAAATGACATCTTTTTTGGGTTTTAGTTCTAAAAGGTCTTGTAGGTCTTCATAGATCCATTCAACCTCAGCTTCTTCAGCATTACTGGTCGTACCATAGACTTAAATTACCATGATATTGAGTGATTTGCCTGGAAATGAACAGAGATCATTCTGTCATTTTTGAGATTGCATGTAATTACTGCATTTCAGACTTTTTTTTTTTTTTTTTTTTTTACTATGATGACTACTCCATTTCTTCTAAGAAGTTGTTGCTCACAGTAGTAGATATAGCGGTCATCTGAGTTAAATTCACCCACTCCAGTCCTTTAGTTCCCTGATTCCTAAAATGTCAATATTCACTCTTGCCATCTCCTGTTTGACCACTTCCAATTTGCCTTGATCTAACCTTCCAGGTTCTTATGCAATATTGCTCTTTACAGCATCGGACCTTGCTTCTATCACCAGTCACATCCACAACTGGGTGTTGTTTTGCTTTGGCTCCTTCTCTTCATTCTTTCTGGAGTTATTTCTCCACTGATCTCCAGTAGCATATTGGGCACCTACCATTCTGGGGAGTTCATCTTTCAGTGTCCTTTCTTTTTACCTTTTCATAATAATGTATACACTAAGAAAAGTATGATGGTGATTTTATGAGCCACTAACCATAATTGGAGGTAAATTTCTTTAATTTATTTCAAAAAAACATTTACTGATTTCCCATTCTGAGAAAAGCACTAGAAGATAGTGGTGAAACAGAAACAAAAGTTTTCCTGTCATCAAGTAATTATCTAATAGGGTTTGAAAGACTCCAGAAAGAAAATATTTCAAGGGCAATTTAAAAATATTAAAATGCTTTCTAGGACAGGTAACAAAGTCATAATCATTATAGCAAAGTCTAGTATAGTACCTGAGATATGGAGCAGGAGGAACCTGTAAAAACATGTGTCATTAGAATGAAAATAAGGTACCAACTTCAAGAAAAAACTGAAAACTAAGTTTCTTACTCTTATTTTAGTCTTTCAATACAGCGATCTATCCAAGAATTGTTTGCTGTGTCATTTTAAAAGAGCTGTAGGTTGGAGATAACCACTAAATACTCTTGGGACTTTCTTTTGTCATAACTAGTAAAGAAGGTGATGGGAAAGATGGGTGCAGCTTTCTAGGTAACTTGTAGGTCAACTTTGTAGATAAGTGAGTGTTTAAATGTTTTCTCATAGTGGACTTTGAACTTTATTTTCTTTCTAAAGAGTAAATCAAAATACACGATGATAATAACACTACCTACAAAAAAGTGTAGTGATTAAGAGGTTTAGAAACCTAGCTCTGATACTGCCTAGCTATTATGGTCATTAAATTTCTTCTTTGCTTTAGCTTCTCACCTGAGAGAGGGAATAATCAGGAATACCCATGCCATGGAGTGTTTCTGATGACAACTTAATATACATTGTTTTCAGACTATACTACAAAGCTAAAATCAACAAGACAATATGGTACTAGCACAAAAACAGAAATATAGACCAATAGAACGTGATAGAAAACCCAGAGATAAACCCATGAGCCTATAGGCACTTTATCTTTGTCAAAGGAATCAAAAATACACCATGGAAAAAGCATAGTCTCTTCAATAAGTGATGCTGGCAAAAGCTAAACCCCTAAGTATAAAACAATGACATTAGAATCCTTCCTAATGCAATTCACAAAGATAAACTCAAAATGGATTAAGGACCTAAATGTTAGACCAGAAACTCTAAAACTCTTAGAGGAAAACATAGGTAGAACTCATTGTGACAAAAATCACAGCAAGATCCACACAACTCAGGCAACTCAACATCAGAAAAAACAAACAACCCAATCAAAAAACGGACAGAAGATCTAAACAGACATTTCTCCAAAAAAGACATGCACATGGCTAATAAACACATGAATAGATGCTCAATATCATTTATAATCAGAGAAATTTAAATTCAAACTACAGTGAGGTATCACGTCACACAAGTCACAATGGCCATCATCAAAAAGTCTATCAAAAAAAAAAAAAAAACGCTAAGGAGGGTGTGGAGAACAGTAAGGAGACTTCTTTAAAAAGTAGGAATAAAACTACCATATGACTCAGAAATCCCATTACTGGGCATATACCTAGAGAAAACCCTTTACAAAAGCCAGGACATGAAGCAACCTAGATGTCCATTGACAGATGAATGGACAAAGAAGTTATGGTACATATTTACAATGGAATATAACTCAGCCCTTGAAAATGAATTTGAGTCAGTTCTACTGAGGTGAATAAACCGAGAGCCTGCTTTACAGAGTGAAGTAAATCAGAAAGCGGAAAACAAATATTGAATATTAATACATATATATGGAATGTTGAAAAATAGCACTAATGGACCTACTTGCAGGGCAGCAACAGACACGCAGACATACAAAACAGATTTGTGGACACGGCAAGGGAAGGAGAAGGTGGGACAAATTGCAAGAGCAGCACTGAAACATACGTATTACCATATGTAAAATACTTAGCCAGTGGGAATTTTCTGTATGATGCAGGGAGTTCAACCCAGTGCTCTCTGACAACCTGCAGAGGTGGGATGGAGTGACGGGGTGGAAGGGAGGCTAAAGGGGTAGAGGACACGTGCATGCATACCTCTGGCTGAATCATGTTGATGTATGGCAAAAACCAACACAAAATTGTAAAGCAATTAGCTTTCAATTAAAAACAAATAATTTTTTAAAAAAGCCAACCGAAAATATACATTGTTATAATAATGTTCATTATTTTAAATTTCATTTTAATTAATAATGATTATTATTATGTTACACTCAGCACTGCCTATGATGTCTGGAACAACTAACATGTGTTCGGTAAATAAGCAAAATTATGGATTAAAATAAGAAACTGAAATTGTCATGTGACCTGACTTTTAATTTTTATTTATTTATTTTTTTTCAAAGTTGAGTTTTCTTTTATTTCTCAGATTATAAACAGTGATAGTATGGTGATGTCTTTTGCTTACTTATTTATTTTTTATTTTATTTAATTATAAAAAGTAACAACATCATGGCATTTTTTTTTAAACAAGTTTATTCATTGTAATTGGAGACTAATTACTTTACAATATTGTAGTGGTTTTGTCATGCATTGATATGAATCAGCCATGGGTAAACATGTATTCCCCATCCTGAACCCCCCTCCCATCTCCCTCCCCATCCCATCCCTCTGGGTCATCCCAATGCACCAGCACTGAGTACCCTGTCCTAGGAATCAAACTTGGACTGGCGATCCATTTCACATATGAAAATATACGTGTTTCAATGCCATTCTCCCAAATCACCCAAATCTGGCCCTCTCCCACAGAGTCCAAAAGACTTATATGCATCTGTGTCTCTTTTGCTGTCTCACATAAAGGGTTATCATTACTATCTTTCTAAATTCCATATATATGCATTAGTATACTGTATTGACGTTTTTCTTTCTGGCTTACTTCACTCTGTATAATAGGCTCCAGTTTCATCCATCTCATTAGAACTGATTCAAATGTATTATTTTTTTTTTTTTAAGTTTTGCATTGTTTTTTACTAAAGTCCAGAAATTTCCATATGACAAGTACATCAATGAAATGTTCCCAAAGAAATACTGAACAATATACACTCTATAGTTAGCTGAGGGTTCCAGCTCAAGAGTTCATACCTAATTCTTTTGCATTAAAAATCAGCATGGATCTTAGATGATCTAGAATACACTGTGTTTTGAAATCCACAGCTGGTTTCCTTTTTAACCATAATGAAAAACCAGTATTCCTATTCCATCAAATGTGTTTTACAAGCAATAATAAATTCAGATCCACTGTATTATGCAACACACATCTTTAGAAAGCAACATAAAACAGTGAGATCGAATCAGTAGAAATATACAGTTAAAAGAAATACACAAAGTACTGTAGTTTTATTAAAAACTACTACTTGAGAAAGAAATCTTTCCACAAATAGCATAAAACTGTAGAATGATGAAAGGATCTGGGAAAGCTTTACAAAAGCCTAATTCCAACTGTATCTTCCTGAGGGTGGTGGCAAAGGGTATTTCCTTCCTTCTCTGGGATATCCCTGTCTCCCTCCACGATCGTCACATCTGGGTGGATACCCACCCGGCCCAGCTAGCATCTGGTACTGGTTTGGCTGGAAGGCTGCATTTTGGGTTTGGAGCATCCGGTTCCATGGTAGCAGAGGTTCGGCCCCAACACCTCTGTCAAATCTTTGCTGCTGGAAAAGGGGAGGGGGACCTCGCCAGGAGTCCTGGGGCCTCATATTTGACATGAGCTTTGGAATCTGGGCTTGTCCTCGCAAAAGTGGCCGGTACATGTTCCCCTGGAAAGTTGCAGGCGATGGTGCAGCATTGCTGTAGACACCCGTTCCAGAGGAGCCTCTTGGCATAACGTGGTCCAAAGCCCTGAAGGCCGCGGGATCCAGGTGGGCAGGCCGCCGGTCCCGGTTGAAGCCGAGCTGGGGTTTCCACTGCCGTCCGTTGCTGGATTTCTCCCAGTCGCTATTTTTAATGGCTGAATAATATTCCATTGTGTACCATAGCTTTCTTATCCATTTGTCTGCTGATGGGCATCTAGGTTGCTTCCATATCCTGGCTATTATAAACAGTGCTGTGATGAACCTTTGCGTACATGTGTCTCTTTCAGTTCTGGTTTCCTTGGTGTGTATGCCCAGGAGTGGAATTGCTGGGTCATATGGCAGTTGATTTCCAGTTTTTTTTTTTTTGTTTTGTTTTTTTTAAGGAAACTCCACACTGTACTCCATAGTAGCTGTACTAGTTTGAAGTCCCACCAACAGTGTAAGAGGGTTTCCTTTTCTCCACACCCTCTCCAGCATTTATTGTTTACAAACAAAAAGTCTACAGACTTTTGGATAGCAGCCATTTTGACTGGTGTGAAATGGTACCTCATTGTGGTTTGATTTGCATTTCTCTGATAATGAGTGATGTTGAGTATATTTTCATGTGTTTGTTAGCCATCTGTATGTCTTCTTTGGAGAAATGTCTGTTTTGTTCTCTGGCCCATTTTTTGATTGGGTCGTTTATTTTTCTGGAATTGAGCTGCAGGAGTTGCTTGTGTATTTTTGAGATTAATCCTTTTTCTGTTGTTTCGTTTGCTATTATTTTCTCCCATTCTGAGGGCTGTCTTTCCACCTTGCTTATAGTTTCCTTCATTGTGCAAAAGCTTTTAAGTTTAAATAGGTCCCATTTGTTTATTTTTACTTTTATTTCCATTATTCTAGGAGGTGGGTCATAGAGGCTTCTGCTATGATTTATGTCAGAAAGTGTTTTGCCTATGTTTTCCCCTAGGAGTTTTATAGCTTATGGTCTTACATTTAGATCTTTAACCCAGTTTGAATTTATTTTTGTCTATGGTGTTAGAAAGTGTTGTAATTTCATTCTTTTACAAGTGGTTAACCAGTTTTCCCAACACTACTTGTTAAAGAGATTGTATTTTCTCCATTGTATATTCTTGACTCTTTTCTCAAAGATAAGATGTCCATAAATGTGTGGATTTATCTCTGGGCTTTCTATTTTGTTCCATTGATCTATATTTCTGTCTTTGTGCCAGTACCACACTGTCTTGATGACTGTGGCTTTGTAGTAGAGCCTGAAGTCAGGCAGGTTGATTCCTCCAGTTCCATTCTTCTTTCTCAAGATTGCTTTGGCAATTAGAGATTTTTTGTATCTCCATACAAATTGTGAAATCACTTGTTCTAGTTCTGTGAAAAGTACTGTTGGTTGCTTGATAGGGATTGCATTGAATCTATAGATTGTTTTGGGCAGTACATTCATTTTCACTCTACTGATTTTTCCAATCCATGAACATGGTATATTTCTCCATCTATTGGTATCCTCTTTGATTTCTTTCATCGGTACTTTGTACTTTTCTATATATAGGTCTTTTGTTTCTTTAGGTAGATATATTCATAAGTATTTTACTCTTTTCGTTGCAATGGTGAATGGAATTATTTCCTTAAGTTATGTTTATGTTTTCTCATTGTTAGTGTATAGGACTGCAAGGGATTTCCGTGTGTTAATTTTACATCTTGCAACTTTACTATATTTATTGATTGGCTCTATTAATATTCCAGTGGAGTCTTTAGGGTTTTCTTTGTAGCAGATCATGTCACCTGCAAACAGTGAGAGTTTTATTTCTTTTTTTCCCAATCTGGATTCCCTCTATTTATTTTTCTGCTCTGATTTCTGTAGCCAAAATTTCCAAAACTATGTTGAATAGTAGAGGTGAGAGTGGGCACCCTTGTCTTGTTCCTGACTTTAGGGGAAATGCTTTCAATTTTTCACCATTCAGGATAATGTTTGCTCTGGGTTTGTCATATATAGTTTTTATTATGTTGAGGTATGTTCCCTCTATTCCTGCTTTCTGGAGGGTTTTTTTTATCATAAATGAATGTTGAATTTTGTCAAACGTTTTCTCTGCATGTGTTGAGATAATCATATGGCTTTTATCTTTCAATTTGTTAATGTGGTGTATTACATTGATTGATTTGCAGATGTTGAAGAATCCTTGCATGCCTGGGATAAAGCCCACTTGGTCATGATGTATGATCTTTATGATATGTTGTTTGATTCTATTTGCTAGAATTTTGTTAAGGGTTTTTGCATTTTTGTTTTAGCCTGTAGTTTTCTTTTTGTGTGTGTGTGGCATCTTTGTCTGGTTTTGATATTAGGGTGATGGTGGCCTCATAAAATTTGTTTGGAAGTTTACCTTCCCCTGCAATTTTCTCAAAGAGTTTGCATAAGATAGGTGTTGGCTCTTCTCTAAATTTTTGGTAGAATTCAGCTGTGAAGCCATTTGGTCCTGGGCTTTTGTTTGCTGTAAGATTTTTGATTACAGCTTAAAGTTTGGTGTTTGTGATGGATCTGTTAAAATTTTCTATTTTTTCCTAGATCAGTTTGGAAATTTGTACTTTTCTAAGAATTTGTCCATTTCTTACAAGTTGTCCATTTTATTGGCAAATAGTTGCTGAGAGTAGTCTCTTATGATCCTTTGTATTTCTGTGTTGTCTGTTGTGATTTCTCCTTTTTCATTTCTAATTCCGTTGATTTGATTCTTCTCCCTTTATTTCTTGATGAGTCTGGCTAATGGTTTGTCAATTTTATTTATCTTCTTAAAGAGCCACTTTTAGTTTTGCTGTTTTTTTTGCTATGGTCTCTTGTTTCTTTTGCATTTATTTCTGCCCTAATTTTTAAGATTTATTTCCTTCTTCTAACCCTGGGGTTCTTCATTTCTTCCTTTTCTAGTTGCTTTAGATGTAGAGTTAGGTTATTTATTTAACTTTTTTCTTGTTTCTTGAGGTAAGCCTGTATTGATATGAACCTTCTCCTTAGCACTGCTTTTACAGTGTCCCATAGTTTTTGGGTTGTTGTGTTTTAATTTTCATTCATTTCTATGAATATTTTGATTTCTTTTTTTTTTAATTTATTTTGTGATTTGTTGATTATTCAACAGCATATTGCTCAGCCTCCATATGTTGGGATTTTTAATAATTTTTCTCCTGTAATTGAGATCTAATCTTACTGCATTGTGGTCAGAAAAGATGCTTGGAGTGATTTCAATTATTATTTTTTTTTTAATTTACCAAGGCTAGATCTATGGCCCAGGATGCGATCTATCCTGGAGAAGGTTCCATGTGCACTTGAGCAAAAGGTGAAATTCATTGTTTTGCAGTGCAGTGTCCTATAGATACCAATTAGGTCTAACTGGTCTTTTGTATCATTTAAAGTTTGTTTTTCCTTGTTAATTTTCTGTTTAGTTGATCTATCCATAGGTGTGAATTGGGTATTAAAGTCTCCCATTATTATTGTGTTATTGTTCATTTCCCCTTTCATACTTGTTAGCATTCGCCTTACATATTGTGGTGCTCCTATGTTGGGTGCATATATATTTATAATTGTCATATCTTCTTCTGGATTGATCCTTTGATCATTATATAGTGTTCTTCTTTGTCTTTTTTCACAGCCTTTATTTTAAAGTCTATTTTATCTGATATGAGTATTGCTTCTCCTGCTTTCTTTTGGTCTCTATTTGCATGGAATATCTTTTTCCATCCCTTCACTTTCAGTCTGTATGTGTCCCTTGTTTTGAGGTGGATCTCTTGTAGACGACATATATAGGGGTCTTGCTTTTGTATCCATTCAGCCAGTCTTTGTCTTTTGGTTGGGGCATTCAACCTATTTACATTTAAGGTGATTATTGATAAGCATGATCCCCTTGTCATTTACTTTGTTGTTTTGGGTTCGAGTTTATAAACCTTCTCTGTGTTTCCTGTCTAGAGAAGATCCTTTAGCATTTGTTGAAGAGCTGGTTTGGTGGTGCTGAATTCTCTCAGCCTTTGCTTGTCTGTAAAGCTTTTGATCTCCCCTTCATATGTGAATGAGATCCTTGCTGGGTACAGTAATTGGGTTGTAGGTTTTTCTCTTTCATCATTTTAAGTATGTCTTGCCATTCCCTCTTGGTCTGAAGAGTTTCTATTGAAAGATCAGCTGTAATCCTTATGGGAATCCTCTTGTGTATTATTTGTTGTTTTTCCCTTGCTGCTTTTAATAGTTGTTCTTTATGTTTGATCTTTGTTAATTTGATTAATATGTGTCTTGGGGTGTTTTGCTTTGGGTTTATCATGTTTGGGACTCTGGGTTTCTTGGACTTGGGTGACTATTTCCTTCCCCATTGTAGGGAATTGTTCATCTATTATCTCCTCAAGTATTTTCTCATGGTCTTTCTTTTTTCTTCTCCTTCTGGGACTCCTATGACTCGAATATTAGGGCATTTAACATTGTCCCAGAGGTCCCTGAGGTTGTCCTCATTTCTTTTAATTCTTTTTTTTTTCTTTTTTCCTCTCTGCTTCATTTATTTCTATCATTCTATCTTCTACCTCACTTATCCCATCTTCTGCCTCTGTTAACTACTGTTAGTTCCCTCCAGAGTGTTTTTGATCTCATTTATTGCATTATTCATTATACATTGAGACTTTTTTATTTCTTCTAGGTCCTTGTTAAAGATTTATTGCATCTTTCCAATCCTTGTATCCATGCTATTTATCTGTAAATCCAGTTTTTTTTTCAAGATTTTGGATCATTTTCACTATCACTATTCTGAATTCTTTTTCAGGTAGATTCCCTGTCTCTTCCTCCCTTGTTTGGTTTGGTGGGCATTTACCCTGTTCCTTTACCTGCTGAGTATTTCTCTTCCTCTTCATCTTGTTTAGATTGCTGTGTTTGTTGTGGCCTTTCTTTATTCTGGCAGTTTGTGGTTCCTCTTTATTGTGGAGGTTCCTCACTGTGGGTGGGGTTGGACAGGTGGCTTGTCAAGGTTTCCTTGTTAGGGAAACTTGTGTCAGTGTTCTGGTGGGTGGGGCTGGATTTCTTC